CATGTCTATTCCCGGATGCAATCATGTGACGTGCATTGTTCATCGTTTTGTTCTCAGTTTCCCTGTACTGCTTCAAAAACTTGTCTCATTGCGCGTTCTGCCGAGTTCACTCACCCTGCTCCACGTACACCTGTTTTTATTTTCATCCGTTTATCAGGCAAGAGAAAGTTTGGGTCTTCCCTGGGCAAACGGTGACGAGTCTGAGGCAGCTCAGGCCGGTCAACATCTGGAGATGTATTTCCGTGAGACACGGGTAATGCGCCGTGAACGCGCCCGACTAAATCAGCTCCAATGGACCGAGGATGAATTTCTCGAACTGGTCCCGGCCATGCGTGTGATCTGGGCCGATCCGAGTATTCGGACTGCGTTTGACCAGCGCGCCAAAGTGATCACTGAGAATTTCGTAAGCTAACTGTTCTGAATAAATCCTTCTGTATTTGGGCAGCGTTCACGTCGGTTCATTTTTCTTCTAGCAAACCTTCGGACATTCCATATTCACAAAGCGATCTATGATTCGCTTTCTTGGTGTTCGTTTCCTGAATTGTGCAGAAAACACTGTATGCTCAAACTAGCAAAACGATCGATTTTCTTTTCCACTCAGTTTTATTGGCTACATTGGGAACATTTTCTCGTTTTAACTGAAACTGACTCATTCAAAACCAGGTACCAGCTGAACCGTATATATTCAGAGCATCAGAAAGAGGAGATATTTATGTAAAGCATATCAGAACAAAAAGTGTTTGTAATTGCCATTCCACCATGCTATCAGACGAGTGGACTAGGTGATGAACTACACATGACCCCGGAAAGACATGAATGATATTATCCCCGAGTCTCCCCTTAGGTTTCCACAGTTCGACTGGCGGTGACAAAGTTCGACTACACACTGCGGCTTTGTGCGACAAATGATATGCATTATCTAGCTGCTGCCTTTAGGTATGTGACTGTGCGGAGTTCATGGTTGTATAAATGTCTGTTGGAATCCCGCACATCCTCTGATTCGAAGACGGCAATTGCCTTGCGGGTACTGAGTCAGATGTATCGATCTAAAATGTGAAATGCGTACTGAACTCTATATGCTTTCTAGCAATGAGTAAATTCTACAACGCACGAATAATGCGACTTCGGGTAGTATACACGTACGACGTTTTTACTTGACTTAATAGAGAAATCAGGCTTGCATATCGCCCGAATCCAACAATGTCTGTTTTGATAGAAATCATCATCATCATTTTAAGGCGTAATACAGTGAGGTGAACTTCACTGATCGCTTCCAAACTCCCTATGTCAACAAGGCAAGTGAGAATATGTAAAGAGGATAGGGATTGGACTTACTTTTAGGAGCGGGGAAAGAAAGCTAACCTCTATGGTCAACTCACAGTACACAATAAAACTGTGCATACATACTATTTCAAGCATTCTGGACTGATAAGAAGTGACAGCATGATCGCTATTGTTGTCGATTCGCAGCCATGATCTTCATTTCTCCAACCATGCGGTTTCGGAGTCTTTTGGACCCCAACCCGGTAGACGAGAGACATCTACTCTACCTAATCGCTCGGTGTATTTCTTCATGCCTCGTCTCCACGTCATCTGCTAACCTCCACGTGGATTTCTCCAACCTGCAACCGGCACTGCGAATAAGGCGCGCTGCGGTAGGCGACCATCGGACATAAGCAACACGTGTCCTAACCAACGGAGCCTATTGAGCTGGATTCGATGCGATAGCGAGTTCTTGTTCGATGCATTCCCAAACACCCTACGACTTACTTCTAAGTTACTAACTCGCTCATTCCATCCCACTTGGGCCAGACCACGTAGGCATCAATTGTTGAACACTGCTAAACGACGGATTTCTTCTACCAGCAAGTTCAAGGTTTCACAACCGTACAGCAGAACTGATCGTGCAGTGGCGCAGTATAGGCGACTTTTCAACTTCAGTGAAACGTCACGTCGCCGCCACAAGTATTTAATTCCTGTGTACGTTGCTCGAGCTTCTGAAATGCGGGCGGTTATATCCTTTGATGCGCTACTGTCGTTGGTCACGCAGCTACCTAAGTACGAGAAGCAGTCAACTTTAACTAATTCCTGACAGTTTCAGAACAGAACTTGACGACATCCATTCTTGCAGTATCACTTTGCACTTTGAAGGTGCAAAGCACATTCCGAACGGAGCGACAGAACTTGCTAATCTGTCAAGGGCTCTTCGTGCATCCTCCATAGATTCGAACAGGCCAACAATGTCATCAGCGTACCCCAAATCGCACAGCTTTTCTATAGCAATATTTTGTAGACCACTTAGTGTGTTCTCCACTACTTCGTCTGTGACGAAATTGAACAGGAATGGTGAAAGAGGGCACCCTTGGCGAACAGCGCTGCTAGTTACGAACGACCTACTCAGGACGCCATGGACTCTTACGCTACCAGAAGTATGTGAGTAGAGTGAACTCAATATGTTCACATACTTCTGCGTCATTCCTTTACGAAGGAGTGAGCCTTTAAGGGATTTATGGTCAAGTGAGTCGAAGGCTCCTTTTAGGTCAAGAAACACGACAACTGTTGGTCGACGGTGCGTATGGTGTAGCTTGAGAACTTGACGCAGGGTGAAGATTTGATCGATACAACCGCTACCTGGTCGAAATCCTGCTTGTTGTTCCCGGATGTTGGTCTCCCTTAACGGTGTCAATGTGTGATGGGGGCTAGTAACTTGGTGACGATTGGAATCAAACTTATTCTAGAAATCGTTGTGTGTTAGACACTAGAGAGAGAATCTCATAGTCAACAGTTGAGGTGAATCACTCATTGTACTCGAACAAAAGATGTGGAATGCGTTACAGTTTAAGTTTTTACAACCATCGACCATGCTTTTTGGTTCGCGGTTCTGGTCCATTGAAGGAGTAGAGGGAGGATTGGATTGCTGAACGCATGTGGCAGTGTGAAGATTTGAATAACTGAGGCTTGTTTACAACTCGGGTGAACGCATAAACGCCAGTGTTAAAGACCGTCACTCGTGCGCAATATCTATAGTTATCGAGTACACTGGTCCAGATGTCGCTGGAAAGCATAATGCCATAACCGAATAACCGGGCCGGGTTTTTCACACCCGCATTTCTGATCTTACTGTATCAGCTTTAACCTTGTACCCTCCTACCGTCTCCGCATATATTGTGCGCTGTTTTAGTTCTTTGATGACAGCGTAACATATGCCCCATCCAGTTTAATCTATGGTTATTTCCTCCAGTGGGTGACTGCGGGTATCTAAAACTGCGAATAACCTCAGCACTGATTATCCGGTTGCCTCCGAACTCGTGGATCCCGGGGTAGACAGTGGTTTCCGAACACCGAGAGTGTATCTTTATCCTGTTTTTTAAGATGCATCACAAAGCAGCACTGGCCGAACCGTTGCAGCATATGCTCGACACTTCATACGTGATGCGTCCGCTAGGTCAAATATGTCTTCGCAACCAAATAAATTTGTCTACTTTCTCTATTGCTTTTCAAGGTAGTGTGAGTACGTTAGCTGAACCAATGCGGTCCTGTGTCAATATTTCACACTTTGAAGTTACAAAACACATGGTCACACTAGCACTTAGGCCATCCAGAAGAGCTTGCAACTTAGCGGGATCTTCACTTAGCAGTACAATGACATCAGCTTACTCTAGTTCATGCAGTGTGTCACCTGGTGCACAAGACGGTGCCGGGACGAGTATCGTTATTTATTACGTATAGCGCTCTGGGTATCAGTAAATTGGTATACACACAACGAAATGTCATATTTGGATCAAGTCTTCAGAATTCCCACACGCACACGGGATAGTTGATTCAACGGTCGCATAGTAGATGCACATTCCTGTGGTTACCATACTGAACGCAGCAATTCACTCCAACAGGTCTTGTTCACTTTTGACCGTTGAAAAGAACCGCCAATCACATCCTTTTGCGTACTACTCACAAATGTGAGTAGTATCTCACAGCATTGGAAGCGAATGATTATCGCTACCTTCTCACAAGAACATATGTGTTTCCAGAATCATAAAAATAAGAAGTTCAATAGAAAAGGTGGGAGAAAGAGCACTCCCAACATACTTTAGATCTTTCGTTGAAGTGTCGAAATATGTTCAAGTCAAGTCAAGGAATGGCTTTATACACCCCGAGAGGTGGATATTCAGCAACCACATAACCATAGTTTGTCAAAAAATACGTAAAACACAATAGTATAATACAGCAGTTAAAAAGATGTGAAAAGGGACAGCAACAACCAAAATGAGTGGCACACCTGGGTGTTCATGAGGGATTTAGTGTAGTGTTTGACGCAGATTTCCCGTAACGAGGACTTGGNGATGAGGAACAACAGACCGCCTGTAAGCTTCAGTGCGAGTCTTTATGAGTTTGTGAGTGTTGTAAGTTCGGGTTGATTTTCGTGTTTAGCATAAAGCATCATCAAAAGGTATAATGCCTCGAGCCCGGATGGGCTATCCCCATCGGTTTTTGAGGATCGTGAATTAACCTTGGTTTTGGAGTTAATGAAACTCCTGAGAATAGTGTGAGAGGGAATAGGCTACACCTGAATGTTGTGAATCGGTCATATTACCGATTTACAAGGAAGACGACAGACCCTCTTATGAAAACCACAGGTAGATTATTGTAATCAAC